TCGCCACTGATGTGAAGGTCCATGACTTCCAACTCATACATTGCAGCAGGTGACTCAGAAAGCCTGATCAATTTCAGTGCAAATGAAAAACAGGTGACTGAGGGGTGTTGTGCCACAGGGCAATCTTTATAATACTCCTAAACCTTTGCCAGCAAAAGTGACCCAACCTCAGCTCTGGTTGAAGCTACCAAAGAACATAAAAGAAAATCTGCAGGTACCATAGGTGGAGGACATCTGTGAACAAATATATTACCAGAAGGTGAGATGGAGGGCACCAATGGTGAAACAAGTGGATCATGGTGCCATGGTAAACCTCTCTGAGTCAGGAGATAAACAACCAAAACAAACATGGATCACAAAGGAGTTTTGGGGCTAGCAGAGCATTTTAAGAAAGTAAGCATTTGGAGTGACTGAATTACAGAGAAAGCTATACACTGTATGATCTTCATTGTAGATGTTTGGACCTGAAGATTTGAACAAGGGGTAACTTTGGGACTGTGGGATAGTCATTACCAGCGCTGTACCACAGGGTTGATCTGGTGAAAAATAGAGCAATCCATGAGGTCGAGTTCAAGGTTTGAAAGACAGTGTCATAGAAAGCATGATCACTTACATAGATGATCTATGCCATTTACAGAGTAAGGTTTACTCTGCAATGAACTTAGCAGACTGTGAGGAAATTCTTATAAACAAATTAGTGGAAGGGAAGTGATGTTATGAGTTTGAGAGATCTTCTCACACTTACTGAGGCAGTTTCTGTGGGAATGCAGTACAAGTGCTAACTTTTAATTAGTTGAAAAAGAGAAAGAAGCTTCTAATGACTGCGGTAGTGGCTCAACTCAGACAAATCATCTTACCAACATACCTAACAAGCTTGAGCCCAGCTGAGAGTTAACCAACCACCCACAGCTCCCAGTGTTGCAGTGTAACTACAATGATATCAAGTGAATGGGCAGGACTATCTCCATCCCCACATGCCACAACTGATGCCAGTGATGCACCTTCATGAATGTCATTCTAGAAAGGAGAAGCAAAGCACTTGCTTTGCCTATGGAGCATTGGGTCACTTTAAAATGAACTCCTCAAAACTTGCCAAGCAGCAAGGTAGACAAGGCTATTGGTTTTGACTGCTGACTCAGCAGATGCAGGAGAACCAACAACAGGCAGTTAGCAATATCATTACAACTCCAGAAAAACCAACAAAGCCTTTCCACTATCATAAAAGATGATGCATTGGAAAAGGATCAATGGTTCAATATGTTGATCTGGTATTCAAATACTAGCAAGTAGAGCTAAGACTGAGAAAAGACCTCAGACTGCTATCAGCACTAGGAATAGCATGTATGAGTTTCATGGTATGCCATTCAGCCTGTGTAATGTGCCTGCCACTATTGAGAGTATAATGCAGCCTACACTGAAGAGGCTGCATTGGGGAAAATGCCTGATCTATTTTGGTGACATCTCAGATTCTGGACATTTGCAGCAGATAAAAAGACAGATTTGAAACTGGAATTGGGAAATGCGTTCCTGTGCATGGAAGTGGAATTTTTTGGTCGTGTTGTTGGTAGAGAAGGAACCTCCACAGATCCTGCTCAAATAGCAGCAGTACGAGATTGATCTCAACCTGTGACCAAATAAGAAGTATGAAGTTTCATAGATTTTGCATCATACTATCAACAATTTCTGGACATTATCGTTTCTCCCTAAAGTTAAAAACACTTCTGGTGGAGTGAGGAATGTAAGGAAGCATTCCAATTTCTAAAGTCTGCTTTAGTAAAAGCCCAAATATATAAATACAGATGGTTTGTCTCACTATATGGTGAGACCCTGTCTGTTCATTGAATAGCCTAAACCTTGATACCATCTGAAAGTGAAGACCATTTCTGCCATAGCGACAACAAGTCAAACAGTTAAGGGTTTCACTAGTGGATGGATGCCATAATTAACACTTTGGAAGCTTCTGGAAGAGCAACTGAAGGACTCTTAACTAGCATGGGTTGTCCTTGCCAGGCAGAAAGGTACAGCCTTACATCAGATTGAGTGATGTAATATATGGATGTACATAATCAATAGCGCTTGTATGAGCAGTTATGAGTGTAAGAAGATGTGCTATACCATTTTTATCAACCACCAAGCCATGGTTCCCAGTTCTCAGATTATGTTACAGTTAATACTCCCAAGTACATTTAGACACAAGATGGTACAGACTTTGCATAATAGAACTACTGGAGGGCATCAGTGGGGTTCTAGTGACTGCTTTCCATTCGAGGTATTTATTTTTGGTTCTAGCCTACAGATATCGCTGGTGTACTTCTGCAAATGGAACAATGTTGTATGTATATACTTATAGTCATCAACTATTTCAAAATGTGGGCTAAGGTTTATCAATTGGTCAATATGTCACACAGTCAGTATCTGATGCATTGACAGAGTACTAGATGGCTCGGTTCAGATCACCTGAAGAGCACCACATGAATAAGGGAACTAATTGTAACAGTGTTTGTTCTCTAAGTTGCATAAAGTGTTGGATGTGTAAAATGCAAAATCTGCTTTGTCCCCAGTCTGATGGTTTTAGTAGGGTGGGTAAAACATTGTGTTAATCATAAACTTGCAAAGTTTGTTCATCTCAACCAAACCAACTGGGATCATCAGTATGCCCAAGACCTCTGGTGCTGGTCTGATGTTTGATATGGTGTAGCTCATAGATGACTTATGACTTGTAGACTTATGTGATGTGTGGGACCACTTTGTTGTCAGACTAGCCCTTAGGTATCATGGGGTCAGGCAGCCCCTGTCAACCATAGACCACCCAGTGGAAATCACAACCACTATGGACATACCAGCACCAGTTTCAAAGAAACCAGTGAATCCATCACTACTGAAATAACTAAGCCTGCAGGAAGTCCAAAGGTTGAGGACGACCCTAACACTTTTTCCTATTTCTTGTTGAAGAAGGAATTCCAGCAATTCTCTAAACATTAAGAGCCATCCATGCAGTGCCTGATAGTGGATGCTTAATCACCTAAAAGAAATGCCAGTACATCCCAAAGCTGAGCAAGATGTTTTTGGGCTGAAGTCAACTTGAAAATTCCTTGGGATGCTCCAGAGAGGTGTAAGGGAACTTGCTGATCTCTACCAGTGGCAGGTTGATGATCAGAGGCACCTCAACTAGCCAGCTGCCATCACCAGTCATGGCACCAAAATCTTTAGCAGTTAAAATGTTTGAGGTAAATGAGGGAGGCATCCACCTAAATGGCAGTTGAGTCACTACTGCTCAAGAGGCTCCGTGAGACACCACAATGACAGTCAAACATCAGCCAAAGAGATAAGAGTTGGATCTTGCACTTGCTATTGGGTAAACATAGATTTAGTGTATATTTATTCTATTTTTCTTAAATTGAGGGATATGTTTGAGTGTGTGTGTGTGTGCATCTTTATTTCAGTTATTATCTACATTAAAGGGTTCCTTGTTTTTTCTCTTATTTTGCATTTTTAATGATGCATTTTAAAAGGTTTATATTATGTTTCAATTTTTCAGTTTTCTCACCTATAGGTGTTTGCAATATTTTGTAAAAGGGTTTTTATTTCATATATAAAAGCCATAGTTTTTTCTTATTATTTTTTTCATTGATGGAAAGTTTTGTTTGTATTTTGTACTAAAGAATTTGTTTTTCTATTTACTGCTGATCTTTGTTGAAAGGATATTTTATTATGTGCTCAGTGTTAAAATTCTGTATGTATTTTTCTTACTATTATTTGAAAGGCTATGAAATTAATCATTATTAAAGTTTATTTTATTTCTTTAAAATATTTTATTATGTATTACAATGTGGTATATTGAAATATTGATTCTCTATTTGCATTGTGTTTAAACTTATCTGTAGTTTTTCTTAAAGGATTGTTTTGTATTTGTGGTTTCAGTTTTGTATTATAAAGACTTTTTCAATGCTAAGTTTTTCTTTATGTAGGTGTATTTTTGCATTTGTGTTAAATAGCAATTTTTACAATGTTTAATTAAAAGAAATTAGTAGGATTTGTAATAACAATTGAATTGTGTTTCTTTGTTAAAGAATTGTATCATCTTTATTGCATTAATGATCTACAGGAGCAGGAGAAGGTTAATGTCCATCTTGACTAGAGTGCAATTTAAAATTTTATTGGTATTAAAGTTAAAATTAATTGTCAGCTTGAGGAAAAGCCTGAAGTAGAGAATAGATAAAAGTTTGGCATATAAACATACCATGCATTTCTACCTTCTTATTTTAATATAGTGTTATCCAAAATTTATTACTTATTTTGAGTATGTGCAGTTTTCCCATAAAATATTGTGAAGAAAATCCAAGTTGATCTAATTCTAACTGCCTGTGTTCTGCCCATGGCTGTAATGCTGTACATTGTGTAAAACTGTAGACAACAGTCATGTGAGTAATGCAAGTTACTTTGGTTGAATCTAACATTACATGGGATGCAAGGAACATTGAATTTAGACAGTCTAGTAGACGATTTCTGCTTGATCAGTTTGAAAGGAATTTGCCTGATCCAGTATACACACTGCATTTGTGTCCAGTTTTTTTTTATTGTATTTTCAGAATTCAGGTGTTTAGATGAACATAAAATTATTTTGTAATAAATATATTCTTTAAACTTCTGTTAATCTGCAGACTTATTTTATTGCTCTAAGGGAAATAAGTTTCACCTAAAAATACCACATATAAAAATGATAACTAAATTAGTTGTATTTTGTAAGCTAATTTTATTTTGAAATGCTATTGATGTATACTATAGAGAGATGCTAACTACAGTATTTGCATTCTAAGAACTAGTTTGATTTTGATATTCAGTGAATGTTGTATAAAGTAAATGTTAACTAATGTAGTTGTATAAAGTAAATTTGTTGTAATTTAATACCTGATGGATAATTACTAAAGATTAATGTCAACTAAAGGAGATAGATTCTGAGAACTGGTTTCCCATCATTGTTTTTTTTTTTCTTTTTTAAGGTATCAACATGAACAAAATCTTTTACATGTCTTTGAGATAATGAAAAATGCTCATGGAGCTCTTCAAGCATCAGAATCTTGTGCTGGACTTTCATCTTGTGTAGAAAATATTTTAAAGCCAGTGTTATTTAACTATTCAAGTTTTTACAATGTTTGTTGTGGAGGAGAACAAAATGTATAAAGTGAAAAGACCGTGTCCGCTCAATCATACAATATGTTGCGTAATGATGTCATGACATCTCAGTGTAATGGGAAGAGTGAATATGTCAGATGTAAACAGCATTCTAGCTTGGGGGCAATGTCCAGGGGCAAACAAAATCCTCTAAGTAGAACAGATGTAATGCTGTTAAGGGAAACTGTGGAACACTTAAAGAAAACAAAAAAATAATAATTTTCAGAACTTATTTGTAACAGGGGACCTGTGTTATCTGTCAACAATTTTGATAGCTCAAATAAGTTGTCTTGCATTTAAAAGAAGTTTGAATCTGAATCTTATATTTCAATACATTTAATGCAGCATCAAAAAGAAAGTCATTTTATTAAAAACTGTATCCATCAAAAAAGGTTGGAAGCTTTTGTGTGTGTCTTTAAACAGGGGTATTCAGACAGTGTCAGGCAAAGAGTGAACCCTGAAAAGATTGATTATAAAACCCAGGAAAATTCTAGAACACTGCAACCTGAAAACAGTTCATCAACAAAAAGAAGTTTTAAAAGGTTAAATAAAAGCAAAAGTGAGAGTGCACTTTATAAAACTACAAATTCAGCAACTACACGATTACCTAGACCCAGGTCTTTAAACAACATAGTTAAAACGAAATATTTCAACTGCCAGTTAGATAACAATACACTAGTGAGTAGCAGTATCTCAGATATCCACATTACCTCATGGAATGGTGCTAGTGAAGAAATAGAACATAATCCTATTAAATCAGACTGCATTTCTACCTGTGTAGTTGATTCCTTCACAAAAGTTCAAAAGGACTTAACAAATAAAGTTGAAGAAACATCATGTGCTGATAAATCCCCCTGTCATGTTATTAGTTGCAAGAAACCTGTTTCTGGCAGTAGCAGGATTTGGGAAACAGCTTGCCCATCTCATTCAGAAAATGACATGGAACAAAATCAAAAATTAAAACCTTTGTTCTTCCCCATTAAAAATGAGTGTATTACTTCAGGACCTTTAAACTCTTCATTGTTGCAAGACTCATTAAACAGCTTTCAGGAATCCAAAGTTTCTCAATTAAAAAAGAAGTTTGACCAAAATCTTGTTCAAAATAGTTTTGATAAAAACCTTTATATAGGTACTGTATCAAAGAATGAAGTATTTCATAACAATCCATTAGCAATGCATAACATTAACACCAGACCATCTTCGTCAAATATGATTCAACAAACTTCAAAAAAGTGTGATACAACAAGCAAAAGTTATTCAAGGAATGAACCAAAAGCAGATATTGCCTCAGTAACTAGTAGTCCAAAGCCTCAGATGTCTTTTGTCCAACAAGCTATTATGAATTATGAGAATTTAAGTCATCTATCTTCAGAAAGCCAAAGAATAAAAAAGTCAGACATTCCAACCAAATCAGTTGAAAATTTGAATTATCAAGTTTCCTGGAAAATATCAAGAAAAACAACTTTGCTACACACGAATAAAACATCTTGTAGTGATAATATAGAGGATAAAGAAACAGAAATGACTGAGGAAGTAGACCAGAATACCAGAAAATATCCGATAAATCTTAAGAACACTGTTGAATTGCAGTGCTTGTCGCAAGACATTAAACCTGCATCAGTCAGTAATAACCAACATCTTTCTCAATTTCAAAATAGAGATTTTGCAAACAATTCAGATTTTTCGAACAATATAAATGGCTTAAATTATGACCTTGGTGTCTGTTTAAATATTCAGGCTGATAAGTTAATTGAAGATGATAATCTACAAATTCCTTATCCAAAAGAGAAAACAAATGGCAGAGGAGATGTTACTAAAGATGATTCAGAAGATAAAATTAGTGAACTGATAAAGGAACAGGCAGGAATAATATTCTGTCAAAGTGAACAAGAAGGCTTTTTATTGAAAAAAACTAACTTACACACAGCAGATACCACAAACAAATTACCGACACCTTTATCCATTGAAGATCCTGTGTATAAAAACAGATTGGCAGGAGAAACTAAATGTGGAAATATCAATGAGGACAAATTGTTACCAAGGTCTAACACATCTTTCCTTTGGAAACATCATGATTCAGTTAGTTGTACTAATGCAGTAAATACATTAATTGCTCAAGATGCCTTGTATGAAGATTTAGCTGATTGGTATACTAAGAAGGATGATACATATGAATATGAAGAAGAGCCTATCTATATGGATGCAGAATCTGTGAGACCTAACTGCTCTGTGTCATCCACAGAATGTCAAAGATCAGAATGTAGTAGCCTAGGTATGTAGTTTGCTATGACAAAATAATCATAAAAGTTTAAAATAAATGTAATTATGAACTTGCAAAGATTAATATTTTACGAATATTTATTTTAAAAAGTTTATTTTGTTTGTTTGTTGTTAAGTACAGCGCTACACAATCAGCTATCTGTGCTGGGTCCACCACGGGTATGGAAATCTGGTTTTTAGAGTTATAAATCTTGAAACTAACAGTTGAACCACTGGGAGGCAATTTTCTAAAGAGATAAGACGACAGATTGTATCGTCTAAGAAATGTTGCAGTGATATCAGCAGTTTCTTTTAAATTTATTTTACACTTTAAGACATTACATTCAAAATGAGTAAAAGTTTTTGTAGCAAGAAGATTATTAACTGAGATACGGTTTACAGTCATGTATGAATTGATAATGCCAACGGAAATTTATTAGTCACAATTTATAATAAATAAAAACAAAGGACGAACATCTGTTTATATTATTTTTGTCAACTTTTCATTTTTCGCTTTTTTCTGGATGTTTAATCTGGCACAACTACAAATTATTTTATGAATTTTTGAATATACTGTTTAAAAATATTAAATAGATGAAAAACTGGCAATATTAACAATATTGTTACGTCTCCGTTTGTTAATTAACTTTCCGTAACTTCGTTTCCGACGAAACTTTAGCGACACAAGTCTTTACTTAATAAAACTGGTTTATTCTTTCCGAATATAACTTTACGATACACTTAATTTCAATATTCGCGCTAAAACAAACACTATAACGAACGAACGAACGTTAACTTCAACAATACCCTGTGACTGCAGTTCAATTACTCACTATCTACACACACATTACCTTATTCTGTCACGTTGTCAACCTCTTTTATATACCAGACTAC